TTTCGGGGTGCTGCTATGACCTTTTAAAAGCTATGAATGCTTCAGGTTTTGCTCCTCTGCCTGTGCTACCCCAACACAGCGAGGGACCGCAAATGAACTGGGGCAATTTCCTTACAAAGAGAGGAAGCTGCTGGAAGGAAGAATGTGGCCCCGCTACGCCAGAGCCCGCTTCTCTGCCTGCAAATGGATCGCAGAGGCAGTGTCTTAGCACAGGGATTTGGGAAGCACGGTTTGAGGCAGACATTTCTGTTATAATTATGTAGCTGCATTCCCCTCAGCTGGAGCACTAAGGAATTAGCAGTCTCTCTAACTTAGGTAGCGTGTACACTATTTAGGATAGCAAACCGGTCCTGTTGGCACTTAATTGTTCCCCGTGAGTTGTGAGAACACTGTTGAAATAGGAATGGGAGGGGTTCCTTCTAAATTAATTTTCCCTTTTTAACTATCAAAGCCACTCCACACAAAGCTGCAGCAACTTCAGCAACTGTCCTGGTTGCACACCAAGGATTTCACTGAGAACATGTTAGAGGGAATCAGAAAGCAGAGAAAAGGTCACAAATAAGCACCTTAGGAACAATGAAAGCTTTTCTCCATGTAGCAGTGGGAGAGTTGCTAGAAAAACTGAAAAGGTATTAATCAGAAGTGGCTATAAATCCTCTGGAGTTTTGCTCTTATAAAACTCCTCAGAGAAAGTCTTGAAGGAAATGCAGGTCAAAGCCCAAAAAAGCTCTTGATCAGAGATTGCTGGAGGAAAATCTTCCCAGATGCCATTTAATAGGCAGCAATCACCCCAGGAGTGGGAAAGCCAAGTACGCTTGAAACATGGTTGCAGTTCCTAATAGGCCTTGTCACACTTAAGGCACTGCAAGCTCCATCCAACGAACAGCTGAAGCTGGCTGGCGATTCATAAAGCCAACAGTTTAAAGTTTATTATGATGAAAGCACTTAATGACAGCCATCGCTAGGGGCCCATCATTTATAAAGCTGTGCTGAGTATTAGACATGTAGCATGACCACCAATTTTATGTCACAATTGCTACCATAAAATGACCTTTGGTGATTTTTACTGCATGTGGTGGACAGCTCTTCTTTTACATTAGTGCTCTGTGGCTTTTCTTTGCAGACTATTATGCTGTCTAAAGCTTATTTGGCACTGTCGTGAGTCTCAACCCTTGTTATTACCCCGAAGGCCTGTCTAAAGGAAAACTCTCATGTTCTATTATAGCACTCCAATAATTTACAGATCTTACCATCCTTGGTTAGCGTCATAATTTAGTGCAGATATTCCTTCATTGTTACCACATTTAATAAAATCCCTCTGTTTCTACAGGCCGCACTGATTTTCCTATCCAGGCCACTAAAATACATATGCTCCTCCGTTATGGAGACATGGATAACGGGTTTTAATTTTTTGTTGTCAGTTGAAAAGAACAGTAAGCAAAAGCAGTGAACAGTAGTTAACCTGGAAGAAATCTCCTTAAAGCCTTAGGTATAAATGCTAGACATCATACAAACAGCAGACGTAATTTCAGTGCATAATGCACAAACATGCATTTGCATGTGAACAATATTACTTAATTACCTTTCAATTTTTAGACCTACTTTGTATACTTAGGAAGTGTTTGAATATCCCAGCACTTTACTGTCCTGATGTAAAGCATTACCAGTGAAGTGGTCTGTCCATGCTGCAACACCTTTAAATTGTATATATAATTTTATAAATGATATAAAATCTGTTTCTAGTCCATGAAAAAACACACTAGCACCGCACACTGCAATCTTGAAAGGATTTAAAATATGTGATTTCTGCTGGTACCTACTGTATTGGGTTTTATATAAAGCTTTTTTCAATAAGGTAAATTGTTACATGACAAACTCATCTTCCACCATTATCATCTGCTGTTTGTGTTTAACAACAGGAGTCCTGGTCTAACAAAACTGTTGTAATGGCTGTACAAATTACTCAGCTGAAAGCTTTTCACCAAACCAAACAGTATTAATCAGCAGTTCTTATGAAGGTGCTAATTAAAAACAATTTTCTTCCTCAGTTTGCAATACTAAGCCATCTTCATTTGCACAGTTTCCAATATACAGCTACTGTATACACTCACACTTCAGGGCCTCTATTAACTATTGAATCTCCCATTACCTATTTTATTACATTCCTGTCTCCCAAGTTTAGAAGCTTGTTGACATTTTAGAAGTCACAGCATGATATGTTTAATCATTTTAAAAGTACATTAATTGAAGTCAGAGGCAGGAAAAAATAACCGCTCTTCTAGCACGCCGGCTCTGGCAGGGCACTGCACTGACTGCACGTTTAAATCCTCTTCTGCCAGCACAACCCAGCACCCATGGGCAACAGGGGGACGGTGCCTAATGCTGAGGACCTTTTATTTTTAATAAGCGATGTTCTGCAAGTGACACTGTGTTGGTTAGCTGCAGGAAATGCATCCAAAATAAAAGATACTTTCTGTTAGTGCAGGCCTATCGCTCCTCCGCTGTTGTCAGCCACAACAGCTCTTTGTTTTTGGGGGCTTGGCATCTGTTGAGTTTAACCCAGATTCGAGGGTCAAGATGTTTCTTCTCAGGCTGTGGAATGCCATCTGGACTACCGCTCCGTGCATCTTCCCTCTACTTTCCACACACTTTACACACAGGAAGACAATGCAGATCCAATGCCGCTGTTGGACAGAGATGGAAAATATCCAGCTTTTACCCAGCCACAACAATATGCTGGGTTTTTTGGCAGCAAGCCAGCTGCTGACTAAGCAAGGAGCCTTAATAATAGGCTAAACCTTTTAAAAATGGGAAAGAAAAGTTAGGTTTGTTACATTCAGCTGTTTGAACAGAGTCCACAGGTTGGAGAGGGAGACGGATCTTGCAGAGAAGATGCTGCACTCAGTCTCTCAAAATCTGGGGTCAGTTCTAGAGCCTCCTGGCTGCTTCTTAAATGGCTATAGGCAAATGAGACAGCAACACTGTGCCTCAGGTTCCAACGTATGGGGAATGGGCATGATTTTGGGGGCATCCCCTCCCTACTTAAACATTTGAATGCAAATTCACTATTGGCTTACTTTTAGCTTAATGGTGTTTTGCATCAGGGTGCCCTCATTTTGGCTGGGTTAAGTAAGTGCTGTTGTGGGGCAGATGAGAATAACATTGGAAATCAGCATTTAAAACCATTTCCAAAAGATGCTGGGGTGTTTACAGCCAGTGTTAGACTACTGATTTGTGACTGCAAAGCCACCTTAATCAGACTGAGGAAAATCTAAAAAGTTAATATAACGATAGAAAGCATCAAAATTACCTGTTTCTGAGGAAACAACACGGGACAACCATGTTACGCAGAAAACATCTTAGATCTAAGTGGTGGTACACCCTGTCCTAGCACTTTCCACCAGCATCTCAAACCATTTCACAAGAGTTAAAGGAATTCACAGTTCAAAGTCACTATTCATTCGCTGGTTTAAAGAAGAAGAAAAACACACAGAAGAAATCCAGGCTAAACTATGTGTTTATAATCTGCTCTGTGAAAAGACAGGGACCTGGTTATTCATCTCTTGCATTAAGGAGAACAAGTGAAAAACGGTAATAAAACGCTGCTCTGTTTGACTTTCAGTGTTTTGCTGCCTTTTCCCTCTTTCCCCTGCCATATCAGCTGTGCCACCTGCCATATCGAGAGGTGGATCAAAAGCTCCACCCACTGCATCCTCTTTTGTTCAGGGAACAGTGAAGGAGAGTTGTAACGGAGATATAACACTTGATAAACCATATGCAGCCAGGCTCAAGATGTAAGGATGCTTTTCATGGGGTTAACAATTTTAATCCCACTTCCCCTCCTCACGCCAACACGTAGCCATTAAGCCACAAGCAAAATGTGAATGACTTGTCTAATAAGGATTTTGCAGCTGGACTGGTACCTGGGATAGTACGTTCTCCTGCCTCATCTCACATTCTTAAGACATCTTTTCATTTCAAATCAAACTTGTTACCCAAATGGAAAGATCTGTCCCAGTGTTCCAGAATGCTATCAGATAGGACTAGTTTGTAATTTTTTCAGAAAACCTTTGCCAAATTTCACAGCAGGAAATGGAAGTTTTTTTTCTTGGTCCTTTATATCCTGAAGATCACAACTCACCGCCAGTGGAACCAGCTGCATTAAGGCTGTGCCCAGGGGAATGGATGTCCACAAGAAGCTCATTTCTCTCTGCCGTTTTTCCTCTGTGAGAGGGGCAAGACACAACGATGCTCTAAAAACTACCAACACATATGAAGGAAAACTTGCATCAGCCTAACACTTCCATTCTCAGTGAAGACAGCATAACTCTTGCACAGTGTCAGTCATCTTTGAAGTGCTTTGCAGACACAAAGTAATTAAGCCCAATATTCTGTTACAGAACACAGTAAACTGTATCATTAAAAATACAGCAAGTATCAGAGGCTAGTTAAAGCACATCACATGAAAGGCACTGATACATTTTACAAGCATGATTTGAGAAACTGCCTAACTTCTTTCTTAGCAAAGACATTTGATGTATTAATAAACACTGTATTTTAATTAAAATTTCAGAGCTCAGAAACTATTTCCTACTAACACGAGGGGTTCTGAGATGTCTCTAAAAAAGAACACATTTAGTACCTCATATACAGTAAATCCTACATCTGTCACTTTTCAATACACATTTTAAAACAAAAAATCAAGAAGAGAGCTTGCTTATATACCTCTAAAAATACCTGCATGGACCAAACCTGCAAGCACTTATGTAGATGAATAACTTCACTGCCTGCGGAGCTCCAATGTGAGTTGTTAGGATGAAGCCTAAATACATCTTTGGTAAACAAGCCATCAATTACACACTTTAGGGATGGCAGCACCTGTGCAAAGCCTTTAACTCAAGCAACAGACACTAAAGAAATAAAAAGCAATTACTGGCTACTAATTTGAGTAAGGCTGTTTTCTTCTTACAGCTAAAACCACAATTCAGTGACACTGGCTCTATTTTTGGCAACTAACAATCTTTATTAGATTATTGTACAGCAGACATTCAAGCCCTCTCAAAAAGAAAAGGTTCACAAATTGTAATATTTCAGCATTTTTCACACTCCTTTGTTGATTATAAAGATTTCCTTGTACATGGTTTTAGCAAAAACAAAGGCACTGCTGTGTGGGACAAGCAAAACAAAGCTAATTAAACGAAAGCCACCTTCACAGCAATTTCAAATTACTCCTAAATGCTTCTGATTTCATATGAGACAAGCATCTTCCAACAAGAGTTTGAACATGAAACTCATACCAGCTCTAGGGGAGACATACTACTCAGTTCTAGGATAAATGGTTGGTTTGCATTGCCCCTGGTCTTTATCTAACACCGAGAATAGGCTGCTTTTTATCAAAAGAGGAATAAATTGCTGTTATTGTGATGTTAGCCCATCGCTTGGCATTGCAATTCAAGTTTTTGTGAGAAAGAAATGTATGATCTAACTGCGACTTGACCTATGCCTTCTGAGATCCATCTAGGTGCTCTAATGGAGCATAAAAAGTATTGAATACAAGGACATGCAAACCGGTAGTGAAGAAATTTGTTTGAGAAGAAGAGCAAAGAGAAAGGGACTTTCACGAGCTCGAGGTTTACATGCTGCCCAATTTGTTAAATACGGAAGAATGCTCACTGCCATTCTTTTAATGAATGTAATTCAGCATGACCCTCTACACTTCCTTGCTTCTACTACGTCCCTCTCTCAGTCATGGTCCCTGCCTCTCTCTCTCTCTCTTTTTCACCATTTAAAAAGTGTTGTGGTTTAAGAGACTGTACAGGGTTCTTTAATGACCCAGGTTGTTTTTCTGAGAAGTCATTAAAATGGTCTATTAAACCACTGAGAAAATAAGAAATCACTTCTGTTTCTTTGTGGGATTTTTGTCAAGAAAAGTCCCATCAAATATTTATCAAATAGTTGGGGCCTAATACGTCACAATATAAATGAATTCAAGAGAGAGAGTTTGATTACACTACAGAATTCTTTAGTTGTTACGGTGTTTCTCGGAATTTATCTGAAAAGGATGTATTTCTTTAAAAAGCGATTTCTAGGATAGTAGCATTTAGATTTTAGTCCTGATAAAGGCTCACTTTCCATTCATAGTCAGAACCTAAATGTGCTCTTCTTGTACCTAAACAGATAATAAGCACTCAGCACACTCCCCCTTCTTGACACAACACACTGAGACTAATCACACATAATTGGAGAGGAGGAGCAGAGGGGCTGGGCAGGCTATTGTGTCCAAAGGACAAATGGTCAGTTTATGAGGCTTTTGTCTGATGCATAATTTCTTATACATTTACAGGAGGAAAAGTCCTGCTGGAAAAAACTATATATATAAAAAGCCTTCAACACTGAAGCAAATAAGGACATGGATAGAAAAATCAGCAGTGGAATTAAATGAATAAATAAAAAAAAAAAGGGCACAAAAATTGGAGCATTCAATAGGTGCCCTTTTAAAAGATCTTAAGACAACTATGTCCTTGCTAATTAAACGTGAATGCATTTACTCCTTTACATCAGTTATATAAGCCCACAAAGACTATTGCAGAAATATTTTCAAATACACACCAAAAGTAACATTTAAAGAGATTAACAAAGTACATGCAAGTTTAAAGGCACGAAAGAGAAGGAATCCAGCGTTACACCTTTGTTAATGCATACA